GGGGGGGGGGAGACAGACGAACAGGGCTTAGAGAGGGGAGGGGTCATTTTTGGCAAAAACGACCGGGCGGTTCTTTATGGTCGGCTCGGCACCGGGCGAGATTATGTGCTTGCTCTGTGCTTCTGACTGCAGCGAGTCTTTGTTCTCTCTTTCCAGCGACCAGTTCGTCCTGGAGGAGGAGGGCTACGCGCGCATCGTCGGCCGCATCAAGGAGCTCGTCATTCGCGGCGGCGAGAACATCGCCCCCAAGGAGGTGGAGGACGCGCTGGCCGCGCACCCCGCAGTCCTGGAGGCGGCGGTAAGGATCTGGCTCGGGCTGCAGACACGTGGAGCGAAGACATGATCTGTCTCCCGAAGCTCAAAACTATTGCATACGGTGGCGTCTGGTTGGCGTGAGGCCAAGGCCGGCAAGACGGGTGCGCCGCGCCGGTGCGGGTGCGCCTCCTTCAGGACAGGTTTACCGGCGCGGGGTATGGACACCCGGTGGAGATACTCCGCGCATGGTTATACTCCACACCGCCCGCTGGTGGCTGGTTGTCACCGTCTTATTTGTTATTTATTTGAACTTTGTGTATTTTGTGACTTATTATAATTAAATTCCAGGTATACGGGGTTCCGGATGAGAGGATGGGCGAGGAGCTGGCCGCCGCGATACGACTGCGAGACCCGAGCGTGTCACTGACGCACGAGGAGATGAAAGGATTCCTCAAGGGAAAGGTGAGCACAGGGCTTCTCATAGACTTTTAAGTTTTAAATCTTGTAATGATAAAGAGGAAGAAATTCGTGGGGTCCTTTACACTGTTATTATTCACTTCCAGATTGCTCATTTCAAAGTCCCAAAATACATGGATGTGATGCCGGACTTCCCTAAGAACCCCTCGGGCAAAGTACAAAAGTTTAAGCTGAGAGATGCGTTTGTAAAGAAATTGTCTGAGTCAAAATAAGACATATTGTAAGAAAATCCATTCAAGAACCCATGACTAACAGACTGCTGTTCTGATTTTTCTTTCACAAATGTTGTGATATTAGTATTATTTTACTATGCTATCCCATCTTGTTTGTATGCATGTGTGGGTGTATGTGAGCGTGACTCAGTATGTGCGTGAAAGGAGAATAATTGTGTAATGAAAGAGGACCTGTAAGTATTTTTAACTATTAACTGTCAATAAGAAAAATGACATTTCATTTTTACGTAAGGAAATTGACCATTTTGTTTGATTGTCACTAAAACTGACATTTATATTTTATATTTTTGAAAAAACATTTTGTTTGTGATTTATAAGGTAATAACTTAATAAAGAAAATTTATTTTAAGTAATAAAACTACTAATGTCTATTCAATGTTACAGGAAAAAGACAAAAAACTAGTTAACAGGGGTGTGAGACGGCTGAATACCCTTATTATTTTACATTGGCACTTCTATCTAACTGACGGAAATCTCATCGAATCTCATTAGGCTGATTAGCCGTGTGCTCGAGTGCGGCCGGCTTGCCTACTCGCCCGAGCCAAGGCGTCAGCGTCATGGTCAGGAGGGGTGGCGCGATCGGCGCGATAGGCAACTCGTGCCGCACGCGTGCGGGCGGTGCAGTATGACAATAAATGTGGGAGGGGTGAACCGGCTACCTCCTACATATTTTACATTTAACTGTTATCCCGTGTGATCCGTGATCTCCGAGATGGTCTGCGCCCAGTATCATTGTTGCAAACCTGCGCCTTCTCATAAATGCCCGCTTATCAACACCCAAGTAAGACCTCACATAAATATTTATATTTTTTTTCCGTCAGTCGCGTTAAGTTCCAACGTCCAATCATGTAAATAAATCACTACAAATGGGTAGAGTATAGAGTGTAACTTGCTAACTTATTCGGCTGCATATCACATTCCACCGTGGAGTAACAATGAGATCCCGTTGGCTCTACCATCGCCGAAGTCGTCGACAGGATGTCGGTAATGCAAAGTAGACAAAGCCTTTTTTTTTACCAAAACTCCAAAGAAAAGAACAAAAAAGAACAATATTGTGGCGGTTTACAAGAATTCAACAAACAGAGGCGATCTTGCACTCAGGGCGCTTGAAAAATATACAAACATGCTTCGCAACTTTGATGTAAAATACACATCTAATTTCACATGGGTCTCTTGTATCTTTACAAGGAAAAACCGGCCACTTTCACTATTGCGACGTTGCGAGGGCCCCGCAGGCGGAGGTGGCTCGGGCGCGAGGTCCCGCTTAGCAGCGCCCGCCCGTGTTGTGTGGACGCCGGCGAGCCAGCGCCGGGGAGGTAGGCAACCCTTCGTTCGCTGCTGTGACACGGTCTTGTGAGCGCCTGCCCCTGCCTGACCTGACGCTGACTGCGCGCGAAGATCAGATGGGCGGCTGAGGGCCCCGCGGAGCGGGCACGGGCGCCATGACGGTGTACCCGGTGCCCAAGCTCACGGTGCCCCAGTGCTCACCGCAGCTGCTGCACCTCGTGCTGCACAGCCCGCCCCCCAGGATGGCGGGCCAGCCCCCGAAACACCCTGGCAAGAACGCGTACGGCTCGCCCGCGTCTGCGTCCTGCGTGGGTGCCGGGCAGGGTGCGCCCGCCACCACGTCCGCCGTGCCGCTGCCGACGTCCGTGGACCTCCTCCTGGCGCGGGGAGCCGAAGCGGGATCGCGTCGGAGGTCCAGCGCGGTATCTGGGGCCAGTAGGGCCTCCGGTAGGTGAGTCACCCGTGACTCCCGCGGCGGATGTGGTGGAAGGGATCCGGAAATCAAACTCTCGGTCCAGATCGCGGCGGTCCCCGCGAGAACGATCTGCTCCCACGACCTCCCCGGTGACGTCGGTCGGCGTCGGCGCAGCCCACGGTGGGGACCCAGCGCGACAAGACAGCGGACTCGGCAGCAGCCAGGGCGGCCAGGACAGTCCGAGCACACAGAGCACAAAGGGTGGACAGCCCGTCGGTCAGGACGAGCAGGCCGTCGGGGGCGGCCGTGATCCGCAGGGACCGCAGGCCAACAAAGCCCGCGGGCTGTTCGGCGAGGAGACCTCCCTGGCGTGCACGTACCGCGCGACCGTGCGACGCGCCTCGTCGAGGGCGCGCTCCAGATCGAGCACATCCGGCAAGAGCCCTGCAGCGGCCGGCACCCGGAGGGACTCTCGGAGGGACGCCTCAGGCCCCGGGGAGGGCGGTTCAGTCCCGCGGGGTTCGCTAGGGGCGGCTGCCCCCTCACAGGTTCCACCCGGTTCGCCGTCGGCGGCCGCGCGGGCGGGCGGCGTCTCCGCCTCCCTCGATGACGACGACGAGCCTGCAGCACGCCGGCCCAAGGGATTGCACGGCGAGGACACGAGCCTGTCGTGCAGCGCTCGGCCGTCAGCCCAGGCTGGTAGGCCGGCAGCTTGGTGGCGAGCTTGTTGGAACGGAGAGTGGATGTCGCCTGATTCCGTCTGTTTCCTCTGCAGCGGACGCGCGAACGGGGGACTCCCCTAAGGCCCCGGCCGACGGCGACGACGCAGCGCCCGAGCAGGCTGGTGACGACCCTCTGACTACCGGGGCTGGAGCTGGAGCAACCTCGGCCCCCACATCCAAACCAGCTGATGGGTATTCCGGTGAGTGAGCCTACGCTATTAATACTACTAACCCCGGAGCATAAAGCATTCCCGTAAAGATGAAAAGAAGAAGAATGCGGCGAAAAAAAACGGAAATCAGGATGCTTCAACATGCTGTGGCCCCTTTCCAAAATGGTTCTTGTACAGGTTCCCCGACTTTGGTGCAGAAGATGTCAAAGGGGTTCCTCGCTGCCGAGAGGTCGACGCCGTCCTGCAGCTCTGGGCGCTCGTCGCCGGGCGGAGGCCTCGCAGCGCAAGTGACCGCCGCCAAGATCAGGGGTATCTTTGGGGACGACACGAGCGCATCCTGTCATCAGGCCGCGGTGCCGGCGGATGCGGTGAAGAGCGGCGGCCGTGAGAGGGCGGATAGTCCGGCAGCGGCCCCGGGCACTCCGTCCGGCTCTGCGGACAGGGACCGCGCCCAGACCTTCCTCAACACGCCCCCCAGCGCTGAGGTCTATCAGCGCGTCTCTCAGGCCCGGGCGGACATGCAGGCCGACGCCTCCTTTCCCAGGTCAGGAGCTGGTGGAGCTGGCGTTACAGCGAGATGTTTTTAATTGGGCTGGTATGGTAGCCTAAAATTTTTGCCCACCCCATGCCGTTTTAACTGGGTTAGGGAGGGCTAACAATTTCGGCTATGCGCGCTCAATCCAAAACACTAGCACTGGCGTAATGCACCTCGTCCTCTATAGGGTGTTCGTTATGGCCCGTCCGAACAACGGGGCATATCGACCACCCTGCATATTGTTCCTCTGAATTTATTCATACGCGGCTTACAGTGGTGAAGTCATGGCCTCCAAGCACACCATCGGGGACACCCCGGCGGTCGGCCCCCGGCCACCACCACCGCAGGACGCCGTCAGCCTGGGCGCATCGCGCGGCCGCGGGGATAGCGGGCAGCAGCTGGACGAGGCCAAGGCCCTGGACCTGTCCGACGTGAGGAGGAGCGTGTGCCTGGACCAAGACATAGTGGACGACGCTGACGCCGACGACGACGCCGTGGCCGTGTTTACCTCGGTCGATCAGGAACCCTCCGAGGCCAACCTCCTGCTGGCGGATCAATTCGGCGTCGAGGAGCGGATTGAGGTTGCGGAAGACTCCGACTTCCAGACCGGGGACGAGGGCGGTACCACAGAGGAGGAGGACGACGACGTCGGCGAACTGGCAGCGGTGGGCGGCGGGGAGGCGCACAAGGAGAGGGCACTGGAGTCAGACTACGCAACGGCAGACGAGGAGGACGAGGAGGGGGAGGCGGTCACTGCCAACCCCGTCAAAGCAGAGGGTCCGCCTCTTCCATACAAGAGCGAGTGCGTCAAAGAAGCGCTGACCAACAGGAGCGTCCCCGAGGAGGACCCCTTGGTGGGGTCGGAGCAGGAGAGGGCCGCTCACAGGGTCAGCGACGAGACCCGGCGGACCGACGACCTCGCCGCCAAGGACGAGGAGGCGGTCGACGATCCGCACGTCGTGGTAGAGGACACGCCGATGCAGGGGCCGGAGGGCGAGGATGCCCTCGAGGTTGACGTTGGGAACGTCCCAGACGAGCTGAACGAGGGCCTCGCTGCGGTGGCACCGTCCGGCCCACTCGACGAAGAGCGCCTTCGTGACGACGCTCCGCCTCCCCAGACTGTTCTCGACCTGGCGGCACTCGACGCCCAGACGGAGATACCCGATCAGGTGCTCGTCGAGGACACGGACAGCGGGAGAGGCGATTCTATCACCGACATGGACTACACCGAAGGCTTGCAAACCTCTTCGGAACAGCCAGCCGAAGAGGCGCCCACACAGCCCGACGATGCACTCGCTGCCGAGGACGTGCAGCCCGCGCTGCTGGACGCTCCAAAGACCGAGGCCGAAGCGCAGTCGTGCATGGGTTCTGGCGAACCCACGGGCACGGCTGAGGCGGTGGAACAGTCGCCCGCCCCGTTGCTGGCGTACGCGAGTGAGTGTCTGAGACCTGTGCGCAGTGAGCCCCGCGACAACGCGCTGGAGTCGGCTAACGAG